GATATTAGTATGAAAATATGTTTGTTACCGTTCTCGATTTTGCCTCATGCGTTTCCGGTTTCGCGATTTTCACTCTAGTGATCCCCATCCTAATCAGCTCATCCATGACTGGTTTAAGCTTATCTTGACTAAGGGACCTCACGAGGTGTGCCAGATCAGCAGGAGTTCTTGATTGAGAGGAGTTCCCTCTTTAGGCCCTGGAGTTCGCGTTCCGCACCGGAAATGAGATCGGAATGTGATGTCAGCAGCCGTGACAAGTTTTCCAGCAGGACTGTCACCGCACCATAAGCCATTCTCTATCAATAGTGTTTGATAATTTGTTTGGTCTTAGAACCCAAAGTGCTCGTCTAGAACCCAAGTGCTTGTGAACAAGTGGTTGATTAGTAAGTGTCAAGTTGCATGTAAATAAATTAATAAAGGTTTGAATAATTTCGCTCCAACCACTGTGTGACTAATAATCCAGTTAAAAAAACTCCATGCTCATGTGAAGATAATTGTATATGGGGTTTGTACAACCGGAGATTCTTTATACACTACATAAAACAAGAAATTGATCCGATTAGAAATTAACATTTATTGATGGGCACATGCACTCGTTGGTATGGGTAAGAAAATTGATTTTGTATCGTTACATTTTCTATAAGTGAAAAACTTATAATAAATCCCATAACGTTAAGCTGAGAAATTAATTTGAAGGATATGTTTGGTAGACAGAAAAGATAGCTTATAGTTTATTTGGTTATCTTATAAGTTTTCTGTTTTCAAATAAGCTCCGTTTGGTAGGACGAACTTTTTTAAAAAGCTCAAGCTTATTTGATAAGCTTCTTTGGGTAGCTTTTCAAATAAGTTCGTTGAAATTTTTATTTCAACTAGTTTATCAGCTAATTTTACCAAACACTTTTATCATATAAGCTAGCTTATCAGCTATAAGTCATAAGCTATAGGCTATGTTTGGTAAAACTAGCTGATAGCTGATAACCTAGCTTATAGCTTATTTGTAAATTTTTAGCTTATAGCTTATAACTTATGACTTATAGCTCAAAAGCTAGCTTATATGATAAAAGTGTTTGGTAAAATTAGCTGATAAGCTAGTTGAAATAAAAAATTCAACTAGCTTATTTGAAAAGCTACCTAAAGTAGCTTATGAGATAAGCTCGAGCTTTTTAGAAAAGCTCGTCCTACCAAACGAGGCTTATTTGTATACAGGGAGCTTATAAGCTAATCAAATAAGCTATAAACTAGCTTATTTGGCTTACCAAACACAGCCATAAGCTATAAGCTCGAAAATTACTGATAAGTTATAAGCTAGCTTATCAAACTTGTTTTACCAAACATAGCCGAAGTAGGATATGTAGGAATAGAAGAGTAATTGTAACAAAAAAAAAAAATGAGTTTAAGTTACTTAAAAGTTGGTTAACATTAGTCATTAGTGCGAGCACTTGCATACTAGTACAAGGATAGTCACGTCACCTAGGGGTGAACATTAGTGCGCTTCGGTGTGGCCAATGCAAAAGGAGAGCATTAGTGCGGTTCGGTGTGACACAATAGCACCGAACTGCAAAAAATTGAAAATCGAAAATGTCCAATGTTCAAATTGAACTGCACCAAATTTAGAGAAAAACCGAACCAAAACTACACCGAAAGGTTTCTGTACGGTTAGCCTCAAATAAACAGGAAAAAAAAAAACAAAGTTCAGGACATGAGATAAGAATCGGCAAGCCAAACTAGTACTTTAGCGATGATTACTGTAAAACGTTCGAAATAAAAAAAAATAAAAAATAAAAAATAAAAGATAAAAAACCATTATCTTTAAGAGAGTAATATTTGTTAGGAAAAATGATTTGTATCTTTCACGAAATTACGAACTTTTTTTACGCAGAAAGTATGGGAATTTTTTTTATCGTTAATCTCATGTCATTTAGTGACTGGATGGAGGCATTCGATTGGCACTGGATGGAGGCATTTGATTGGCAGTGAGAAGTTTGGTTGCGGTGTTCCTTTCTGCAGGTCAAACCCCATTTCTTACTACTAGTAAGGTGCACGTGCGCTGCACATATACTAAATTTAAAATTTAAGTTCGTAACATGTAGTTTTAAAATGTAAAATTTTTTATTCTTATTTATTTGAATTTTGAATAGGTGGATAGCATAATCAATCTAACAAACAAAAAATAAATAAATAAATAAGAAGTACAAGCTATATAAGAATATGTAGAATAAGGATATTTGAAAGTGTTATACCCAAACATAAGTTCATAAAGAGGGGTAGATGTTTAATTTAATTGTGGAATTAGAAGGAATGTAGTACATAGTAAAATGGTAAATGGAGATCGATAATAATGTCATAAAAATTTCATCATCATGTACGTGAAATAATTTTTTTAGAAGCATAAAATAGGAATAATGCTATGTTAAATCTCTTCATGGCTTCTCCTTTTTTATTTAAACCATTTTCTTGGTTTTTGTGTTTCCTGAAGCCGGCATTTTCTTGGTGTACTTCTTTATTGTATGTAGAGTTTATTCATCGCTTGAAAATTCAATGTCAGCAAAGGTGTGGGTAATTTGGTGTTTAATTTTTTTTCGATGCGACTTCTTTTCAAAATTTCCATCGACATCTCCATCGTTCTTTGTTCTCTTCTTGCCCTTTTCCAAAGGTGGGTTAATCTTCTCGAGTGCTTCAGCATCGACAATTAGCTTTTTATCGTCCACCTTGGATTTAGCATTTAATGGTATGAGAAATTTAATTGTAGCTGAAGTTTGCAAGCTGAGTTCTCTAAAAAATTTGGAGTTGTTTTCCCCCTGGATGAATAAGTTTAATAAGAATGTTAGTTTTAAATGAAATAAAATAAATATATTAAAAATGTTGTATTGAATTTTGTTACCTCCTCAATGGATTTGATGTATTCAAGAAATGTGCAACCAATGAATGCAGTAGTAGCTGCCTCAAACATAGTTATGGTTGCATTGTGTGATCCATGGACGACATTCAAAACAACCCTGTATCTACAATTAATAAAATAATGATAAATATATAATATATTAGGAATTATTAATAAAGTAAACTTTATTGTATGCATACCTAGATTTGGTTTCGACATTTTTCTCTTTGCATTTGTTGCAAATTGTTGTATCTTTGGTTTTAAAAACAGAAGCGGAACATTTTGTGCATGCATCGTACTACATGGACAATTTATTTTCAATTATATCAACAACTCCTTTGAAACAATAATACATATCCTTGAAAAATATAAAAAAGAAAAACTTAGAAAATATTGTAATGAAACTTAAAAAAAAAAAAAGGAAACTAATTTTACCTGGGATAATATATGTTTGTTGTCTATGATGGTGCTGAGTGTCACTTGATTTGCCAACTTCATTCTTTGAATAGTTGCTAATTATCGAAATTTAATCCGATTTTGAGTTTTATCCAAGCTATTTTTGTAACATATAAAAATAAATGTATATTAGAAAGTTATGAATAGTAATATTTCAACATACGAAATATAAAATTATATTTTATTAATAAAAATAATAATCACACCAATTTTTCAAAAGGCCGGGTTAATGACATTGTGGATTTATCTGTATTACGGATGCTCCAGTAGTTTGAACTTGAATTTCACCTAAAATTAATAAGTCACAAACATGAAAAATAAGATATTATTTTTTAATTATATTATATATAATTAGATTATGTTTAATAATAAAAACAAAATTATTTATGTATTACCAAGGTATATTTTAGGAGTGACTTGAGAAATTTTACCTATAAGACTATTTGGCATATTTTCTTCCAATTGTTTTGCTTCATTGGATGCTAAATCTTCCCACAGAGTAACAAGCAAGGTGCGCATACTTCAGGACACAAAATTTTATTAAATAAAATAAGGTGTATTAAAAATTGTAATAGTAATAATTTTGTTTGAGATAAATATTTTCTCACTATTCATTGACGAGTGTGATTTCCACAAACATCTATAAGAGGTGTTAATTTATTATAAAATGAAAAAAAATATATAAATAAATTAAAAAACAGACAATCGATAAAGTTGTATGGGCCTAAACATGTTCCATTTTTGTGAAGATGAAGGTTAGGATCTTCAAAATCCACAAAGTTGTATTAATACATTTCCAATAGGCTCTGCTACATGAATCACAGAAGTATGTCTATTTAACACCAATTCTACATCCGGGTTTGGAGTAATAAAAGTTTCCTTTGGTTTATTAACTTCACAATTAAATATAATATAAGTATTATTAATTGCAAATTTTTCGGTAAAGAAATCAATTTCATCATTGAATATTATGACACCAATCTTTATTCCCTGCAAAATACGGAAAAATTTTTATAAATTAAGATTTATAATTTGAAAAATATAAAAATTGGGTAAATGGCATCGAATTTGATAGCACTACTTACCACTTCATCACTCATAATAATTTTGCGGATCCTTTTCTTTTTTTTTTAAAAAAAAAAAGAAAAGAAAAAGACAACAAGTGCAAATAGCCAACAAAAATTTGATCTTGGTTCTGAAAGAGTCCAGGAGAACAGTCAACATCACGAGTAAGCAGAGGCACCAAAATGTAAGTCCGACTGTCCAAATCTGAACGATGGGTATTCAATCTGGTCCATCCGTATAAGGGTGCGGAGGCGGATAGGAATGTCGTCAGGCTGAAGAATACGTCTCTGTGGATCCTTATTGAAAGATTTTTCCCGCAACATAGTTCAGGTGCAATTCCTAGAACTTTTAGACGTAGGTTGAAATCTTTACTATTTTCTTTCAAAAGTATCAAAGATATGAAAGGTTGGTTTTCCATAATTGTCCTGTTGTGGAATTAATAATTATAATATTTGTTATAAAAAAATAATAAAGTAAAAAACGAATCAAATAATAATTAGTGGAAATATGGTCTTCACAAGTGAATATCAATTAGTGGAAATATGGTCTCCATACACCATATCATATTACACCATATAATACAAATATTAACTGATGGATATAAATGGAATACTGCTTTAGCAATAACCTCGCCAACTAATGCCCCAGAAATGATTAATGAGCAAAGTTGTAAGGAACATTGTTATCTGCACTATCATTTATAAGCTCAGACTTTCGATAAAAAAGTATCACGTTATTCTTTTAGAACTTGGTAAGAACCAAATCTTATTGATCATTACAGTAGGAAAGGAAGGATTGCTTACTGTTAGATCTGAGTATTGACTTTTGGCATTTATTTGTTCCTTATCCTTTATTTAGAGCATTATCATGTTCATTGATTAAGTTGGTTTAGGTAAATAGATATTAGAAAGACCTTGACCACCTCCAAAGATTAATATTTGATCCCATATTGTCAATTTTAACTAAGAGAGTCATTCTAGAATTGTATATACGAACAATGGAAAGCAATTATAGACATGAAAATGAAGGCATAATATTTTTTTTAAAAAAAAATCATGTAAACAATTGTTAGTTAATATTTTTTTAAAAAAAAATCATGTAAACAATTGTTAGTAACTCATTCATTGATTAATGACGAACAATTTGTAGCAGCCAAAATAATGTAAAATGAACTGAAAACACAGAACAAAAACAATTATTTCCATAACTATAAGAAAAGACAATTATTTCCATAACTATAAGAAAAGACTCGCCTATTCCTCCGTCTTGAAAATTCCAAGTGCATACAAAAATCTCGCGCAAAGCTGCCAACACACGATGAATATAGCGCAAGACCGGGTTGCGAATATCAGCGGCTTTCGCTCCCCCACGTGAGAACTGTAATGGTTTGGCATCTGCTCCTACAGGTGTCAAAGTAATAGACCTCCAGAAGTCGGCCTCACTGTACTCCGTGCTGTCGGCATAATCATCCCCTGCTCCGAACCATGCTGTTAACTGGCCCTCAGTCACCCGTCGAGGCTGATTATCCAGCTGAAATGTAAACTCCTCGAATGTCATCCCGGAGCCCCTCTTCATCTTAAAAGTGCTAAAAACCTCGAGCACCATCCTCTTGTATGTACCCGGGCGCTCACGTAGCATGTCCGAAATTCCGAGCTGGTTAAATTGAGGCTTCACCGCTTCATGAATGCCAAGGGCACGCTCGGCGGCCTCGTCAGGATACCGAGTCGGTCGGATAGCTAGCTGTGCGAGTCGGGTCCAATTCTCTTTTTGCCAGTCGTGCTCTAATGTAACCCCGAACTCGCTTCCGGGGGTCGCTTCGACCTCGACATCCTCATTAGTTCAGGCCGGTGGAGTTCTTGGAGGACGGGTCGCACGAGGTGTCACACCCGCACCCCCACTTCTTTTAGCTTGACTACGCGTGTTCATTCTCGCACCTACATGAGAAAATTCAAAAGTTCAACTTCAACATCACCAATAATCCACAATAATCTTCATTCATCAAAATACTTCACCAATATCACATCATGCCAATAATAATCAATAATTCCAAACAATCTCTACAATCAACATATATCTCAATTATTCCAACTCCAAACAAGTCCAAAAAGAGAGCTAATATCAACAAACTACAAAAAGTCCAAGCAATTCAACAAAACTTCACCACATATTCATCACAAATCCTTCATTCACTTCTTTACCTCCTCAAAATACATCAAAAATTCACAAAAATCATTAACACCAAGAACATCATCAATTAAGCTAAAAAATTACCTCACCTCATGTTAAACCGCACTCTCTTCCCCATTCAAAACAATTAGATCAACAAATCATATGAAAAAGAGAGCAAAATCATCAAATCAAATCCGCACATGAAGTGTTTGATAAAATTCCTCAAAGTAGTCTTAACCCTAACATCAAAATAATACCAAAAATGCACCATCCATACCTCAATTCACCATCCAATACGTGAAACTACAAGAAAGAAGAAGAAATTCGTACCTTGTTTGTTGAAATCTACCAAAATCCCCAAAATTCCAAACCCTAAGTTTAAGAACACCGAATTTCCCCCCTTGGAAGAACTCAAATCCGTCAAATAATTTCTTAGATGGTGTGTGTATGTGAATTCGAGAAGAAATCGAGCAAGAAGAGCGAGAAAATTTGAAAAACCGAGAGAGACGATCGAGTCGTGTGAGATAGAAGTGAAGGCGTCGTACATGAGAATGAGGAGAGAAGGTGAAATAAAACAAACCTGGTAGTCACACGGGTCGTGTCCCCGAAGTCCACACGAGTCGTGTGATCATAACAAAAGTCGACTAAAATTTCGCCCAGACTCACACGATTCGTGTCCATTTCCCACACGACTCGTGTCCTTCACCACACGAGTCGTGTTAAAACGCCTTAGCTAACATCGAAAATCTCTTTTTTTCCCAGGTTCACACGAGTCGTGTGATAGGTCACACGAGTCGTGTGGACCTGGATATATATTCTTTTATTTTTTTTAAGAAGAAACGAAAATAAGCCTAATCTGAAAAAAAAATACACACAAAACATTGAGTTGCCTCCCAACAAGCGCTTAATTTAACGTCTTGAGCTAGACGATGTTCCGCGTACCTTTAGTCATTCAAATAGACGATGAAGATCGTCTTGACTTGTTCCG